AAAACAAATGGTGACGTTCACCAGTATAATACGCGAAATAGAACTAATTTGAGTGTACGACCAACCAGGCTCCAAAAGATAAACCACTCCTTATATGGAAATTGTATTCGTTTTTACAACAAACTCCCAAGCGAAATTAGAGAAATATCACTAAATAAATTCAAAGCCCTAGTTAAACGAAAATTAATCAATAAAGCTTTTTATAAATTTGAGGAATACTTAAATGATCCTCATCCTTGGGATTGATTTGCTCCAGTTCAAACAATTTGTATGACAATACTTGGCGATTAAAAAGAGTAGCGGAAAGTTTCTTGCCAGTTCTTCTTACCCGCTCTACACCCTTGATTTGCGAACTGGTAGTAAATGTAAATTTACAATTAATTTAACTTCTTTCTGACAATTCATAAGTGTACTTGTTTACCTACATGAATATAGATATTTTGAGTTTTGAGTTTTTTTTTTAATTTAACATTAAATATATTATTAATACACCAACATATTTATATATACTAGTCAATAAAAATATATAACTAACAAGTGTTGTTTTGCTTATTATTAAATTCTGGTGGCAAGTTTATCTTTATACCCAATATATTGCTGCTCTTGACAAAACAGACTTGTCCTACAGGACGTCGATTATAAAATATGCTTTGGGTGTCTGACGTCATGTGACTCAATTCGTCACACGAGAAAAGAAATAATTGTAAGCTAACGAATGACGATTGAAACTACGCTATAGATAGTTCGGCGTTTCAGTACCTTAACGGTCTTAATTATTATTTAATTCACTTATCTATTCAAACTAGTTCGAGATTCGAGTCAATCTTTTTAACAAGCAGTTACATATTTATGATTCTACAGGTTATTCAGTAACAAATATGTTATTAATGTATTTTATTGATCTGTCTTTTATTGACATAACTTTTACATATTTAAAGAAAACACTTTTTTACCGGATGGAAGTTATGTATATATTAAAAAAAAAAATAAAAAAAAACAATAATAAATAAAATAATATTTTATATATTAAAATTATGTAAAATAATTGTAAATTTATAATAATACATAACTTCAATCCGGTAAAAAAGGGTTTTCTTTAAATCTTATTAATGTTCATATTTTAAAGATAGGGTCCGTCCGCACTCATTTTTGTTAGTCATAGGAAAGTCTTATCTGCGTGTTACCTTTGGATTTCATCAAGATCCACTTTCGAATTATTACATATATATATATATATATATATATTTATACGGTTATAGAATTTTTATTAATTTCTGAATTAGTCATTAAATTAACTATGCTTGACAAACTTAAACTTAAACCATCTTGAAAATGTCAGTATGAAAATTTCTTTTAGGATGGGTCAGACTGTACGTGGTAGGATGGGCATTTATTATGTATCTAGCATATTCAGAAGTTTAACAGAAGGGTAACAAGTGCAAATGTAGCTTAGACCCTCATCATTGGTGGCAGTGGGCTTTCGAAGATAAGAAATGCTCGCTTTTTCATAATACTTTATTCAAGACCAGAGATTCAGTTCAGTGACAGACTAATCGGTGGTGTCAGAGAGGTGCGGGACACTTAAGTATTAATGTTTAACCCTTCCGTACCCGACGCCTGTCAATCCTTTATTCAATGTAACGTCGCTTGAATATTTTATGTTCATTAATTTGTCAGATCTTACGTCCGTTTAGTTAACAATACGTAAATGTAACATTGTTTATTACGTTGTTTTGAGCCATTTTAAAGTAATATTATTTTATACATGTTTTGCCTCAAAAGACGGCGGCACAATCTTGCATTTACTGTGATCTTTCTCACTTTTAAAAAATGTTAAAATTATGATATTTATATATTTAAATATATATTTTGGCGGGATTTTGTCTTAGAGCCAACGCAGTACAACTTAGAAAACAATGAATTTAGCTATAACTACACTTCTGGACACATCTATTGGCCCACCTTGCATTTTCAGTTTCTTTTGGTCCTAACAAAAAAATTTATATTAGGTCGAGTAAAAAATTTTTTATGCAGTTTTGAACCTGATACATTTTACCATCTTTTTCGATCGTATTGTTTTAAATTTGAATTTAGAATACCACACCACATGGAGATACGCCTTACAAGTCGGGTATGCGCCTTGATGAAGTCAGTTGATTTTTGAATAAAAAACGTGTTTTATCAAATAAAGGTTTAATTTAATAACGCGTGTTGCCTCCATGGGCATCTACGACAGCTCTCATACGATTAGGCATAGAGTTTATCAACCGCTCTATGAAATTTTGAGGGATCATCTCCCATTCCTCTTCTATGGCAGTTTTCAATTCCTGCATCGTCTGGGCAACTGGCTGACGAGCCCTACAGTCTTTTGCGTCCCACATGTGCTCAATGGGGTTCATATCTGGGCTTCTGGCTGGCCAGTCCATAACTGCGATGTTCACATCCCGAAGATATTCTCTGACGATGCCGGCCGTATGGGCTCTTGCATTATCATGCATAAAAAAGGAAATTTGGGCCCACATAGTCCGCGTATGGCATCACGTGAGGTCTTCGCACTCAAAAATGTACCTTTCAGCATTTAATGTTGGCAGCCGTGGTCCCGTAACAAGCTCAAGTTGAGTTTTGCCGCTCGCGGATATACCGCCCCAGACAGTCCATGAGCCACCGCCATAAGCAACCCTCTCTTCAAAGCAGCATTGTGCAAAACGCTCTCCCTTACGTCGGTAGACCTTCTTCCTTCCATCATTGCCATGTAATGCAATTTTAGACTCATCAGAAAAGAGTACACCGTTCCAATGCTGCTGAGTCCAATTTAAGTGTGAGCGCGCGAAATGAAGGCGCGCTATTCGGTGGGCTCGCGTTAGTTTTGGGCCATTAGCTGGCTTGTGTGGTACCATATCGCGTTCTTTTAATCTTCTCCGAACAGTTCGAGCGCTCACATTTACTCCATGGAAGTCGCGAAGTTGGTTTTGTATCTCAATGGAGGTAAGGTGACGATTTCTCAAGCTGGTCGTCACGATGAATCGATCCTGCCTTTCAGTTGTGACCCGAAATCGTGGCTTTCCTTGGCGACGAACAAAGTCGCCAGTATCTGTATCTCCGAGGTATCTCCGATAAACGTTTCGGACCGCAGATCGACTTAAATTAAGTTGATCACTCACATTTCTTTGGCTGTGTCCGGCCCGGATAAGTGCCACAGCTTGGGCGGCGACTTTAGGCGAAGTATCCATAGATTATTGATAGAACCTCATCTTAATGTTAAGAATAAGTAATGTTTGTTGCAAAACCAAAGAGAAAATTCACACTTTCAAGAATTAAATCCAACTAAACCAATAAAATCAAGTTTTTTTAGTATTCGATTGTTTGATATCAATGAGCAGGCTCAAATTGTCTTTTGTTTCTTTAAATTCTGTGTTCGAAATTAAAAAAAAATTTTGAATGCAATTATGAATGTGCCAGGTTCAAAACTGCATAAAAACTTTTTACTCGACCTAATATAAATTTTTAGGTAGGACCAAAAGAAACTGAAAATGCAAGGTGGGCCAATAGATGTGTCCATAAGTGTATTTTAAAAGTAGCGAAATTGGTAGGGGACTACTACCTACTAAACTAAATGTAAGTGGTAAAAAGTAAATATAAATTCCAGTTATCTAAAATGAAAATTTTTAAATTATTTCAACTACGTAACATTTTATTTAACGGTTTACCAAATCGCTAGAGGGTCTTAAAATGCAGATGTTTCTCAAGTTGATCCGCAAAATGACCACGGTTGGTGTCGCCAGTAATCTCCGTAATATATTCACAACTAAAAGGTAGAAAGTCCAGCAACTGTATTACTCCCTATGGTCCAATCGGGAGACATTGGTGGGAGGAATTTTATGAAATATATTCTATCGTTTGGTATTCATTAATATATTAACAATGCAATAGGTGATAAAGGAAAATCGGTTGTACCTATTTTGTAGTTTCTTTCAACGTTAAAAAATACTTTAACGTATAAAAACAAACCATTTGAAAAACAAAAGAGACAGCTTATTCATTTATTCAGTCAGCGAGACTGATGTATAAATTTGTATAGTAGAGAGAAACTAGCATACATGTTCCTAAATCTTAAGCATGTCCATCTAAATACCACCCTCGTTAGTACATTCTTACAAACACTGTAATATTTATAGATTTTTGTGGGAGGCATTAGCGCCCATTGGTCGCGCTATTCATAACAAAAGTGGAATGGAAAAGCTCGGGAAAACCGTACACCGTATTCAAAAAGCTTTTAGTGTCATCCCGCTGTCACATTTCACGTTTGTGAATATCGACTCTCTCATTTGAGACAAAATGAACGCGTGAATTTGTCAACGATTGATTACGTGTGGGATTTTACGAAGTTCCATTAAGATTTATCATTTCCATTATTGTTTTAAAGTATTGTGTTTGTTTAGTATATTTTTAAAACTGTTTATGAGTTAGTTGAGTTGCATATATTCCCTTTGTTAAAACCGAAACGCGGTCTTGGCAAAAGTATAGTAAAACTTATAGTTGGGTGCAAGGGGGGAAGGGGGAAGCAGTAGGCGGGGCGTCCACTAGGCCTAGGCGGGGCGATCGGGTGCTGAGGTGCAAAGGCCCGGGCGCACTGCCTCCGACGCCCATTAGAACCTCACAGTCGCATCGCAAAGCTCAACGTTGTCGCGCGCGTTGCACAACTGCATTAAATCTTCGTTCACCTGACATTAAAGACTTGAATGTAAAGGTGCGCTCCGATTACCGGTAATTGCCCGGTCAATAACAGTCACCTAAATAATTGGCGGAAAGGAACCGTATTTAGCAGAACGGGCACCCCTTCAATTAGTGCCACCTGTCGGACACGCGTTGCGCATTAATTTGCACTTGCGATAACTTTGCCCTCAAAAACATCAAAATTTTGACGTCAATGCACCTGCGGGAACTCTGACAAAACAAACACCAGGGAACCGATGTAGCCCCGCTGTGAGGGTGTCGACGATATGATCATGTTATTTAAAGGCAATAGTAGTAGATTAGAACATTTGATAGAGAAAATTCAAGCTAATAAAGAAAATCACGACGTGTCAACCGACGATATTAAAGGTGAGTTTTATCTTTTAAATGAAAAGCATTTTTTCTAATTTTTAAACTTTTCATATATCCAGTTATATAATGTATGATTTTAATCTAACTACAAAAAACTCTTCTAGCTAAGCTACAATAAGTTATTCATAAATTATTTGTAATATGAACAAAATCTAAACTTATTGATGTACATATTTATAACATTTCATGTAGCTTTCTTATCTACGTTACGTTAACGATTTAACCGCGTAATTATAAGTATGAAAGTATAATTAAACGAGCTTCTCTTCTGTAAAGTATAATATATTATATTGCTTTGATAAGGTTAGGTATAAACATATTTTGATGTAAATTCAGCTTTCGCTGTATTATAGCCTGTCTATTCGTCAGCAGTGACGTCGATTGTGGTTCCATTTTTAAATAGCTGTGCCCGTGCGTTATATAGCCTTCCTTGATAAATCGACCTTACTCTCCTCAAAAAACCTCTTCAGCTTTATAATCTATATAATATGTAAAACAAAGTCGAGCTATTTACACAATTTAGCTCGAGAGTTATGGAAAAACAAATATTTTAGATAGACTCGTATAAAAAATACTTGTACTCAACTTGACATTTCCTTTGATATTTTCATTTTCCAAACGTCACAGACAAGTAAAAAGAAAAACAAGTTTAAAAAATATGTCCGTTGTTTTAATTGACTCGAAAATAGTGTCCTAATCTGTATATATTAACAATAGTATAAACAATTATACCCCTGAGTAATTGTAATAAGATTCTAATGAAGCGTAAATAAATAATTACTTCATACTAACCTGTATATATACCCTTCAAATTATTCACGGTGATTTTTAAATAGCTACAAAATTACAACTTTGCTTATTTAAATAGTCAATGGTCTGGAAAATTAATCAACTAATTAATTTGTAAATTTGGCTTAGTGCGGAATAATTAGTGTGTTTAAGATTTAAAATAGCTAATTAATAGTTCCAAATGTCAGAAATGTTATAAAACTCTAAAATGTATGGACAAGTCACAAGGCTCATCATAGGTAGATGTTTTCTACTAGGTACCCAGAGAGGTCATATTATTGAAGAATAAATATTGCAGTAGTCTATTGTTCAAATATAATAAAAACAAATATGATGATTTGTTTTATTTAAGATATCAGATTTATAAAATTCCTTAAATTCAAAATGAACATTAAATAATTAGAAAAATCCAATATAATTTGTTTCTGTATTTCACTTAACTAAGTCCACTTTGAATTTTACTTTAGTTACAAAAATCTCTCACAAAGCTTTTTGAGTAAGTACCTACTATTTTATTGTTATAATACCTACTCTCTATAACCAGACGTTGTAGTAAGTTCCAATTACAGAGAAATAAAAATCGACTGAATTAGGAATAAGCATATTACAAAGTTAATAGCAAAACCTTCCTCAATGTGCTTTTAGCATTAACTAAGTTGACGCTCACTCCTACTTCGCGTGCCGTAATATTGGCGATTAGACAACCCAGCCCGGTCCATGACAACGATCAGTGTGGGCTAAGGTTTTCACACCAACATTTGGCGATTGGCGCTGATTGTCGAGGCGCCGGTTGAGGTGTCTCATACGACGCAATTAGGAAGTCAGCTTCCGCCGCCCACCACGGCGCTAAGTCACCCGAGGAATTGCCAACAATCATTGTTAATTACATATATCCTATACAGAATAGACATACAACGAGATAGACTAATATAAAGAGTTGATAGAGAGAACATACCGGTATACTTCGAATTTCAAATTGTATTGAAGAAGAAAGAGAAACACTTTCATTAGTAACAACCTTATTTCTCACCTTATTTAGAGAAAATTTTGCACAAGAAATAACATAATTTAGTTACATAACAAAAAAAATACACATAAACACATACGTAGGTACGCACAGACACACCAATATTTATATTATATTTTACTAAGTTAATGGAAATTACTTTTTAATATAATATATACATTTGGTTTTCTAATTTTTATAAAAGCTGTTTGCTATCTGAATAAAAAATAAAATAACTTTAGCTCAACACCATACGATGTTGTAGCTTGTTTATAACCAATTCGTTATAATAATGCAAGCTACTTAATTAAGCTGTCTTACTTCATGGCTGAATTCAATTGTCATTATTTTCTCCATTACGGTCGTTACGCGTATCCGGGGCGTGAAGGAAGACAGATTGATATAAATAGTTTCCCTTATTACACGCGATATAAAGTAAGAAAATAGCTGGTTACGTCGTAAAAGGAAAATTATACGAGATGGGCGGTAACTGTTAGAATATGGATTTTTAAAGCAAATTTATTGATTGTTTAGTATTATTATTATTATATTTGGCCTTATTCATATTAATAAGTATAATAAATTGAAATTATATAAAGAAGCTGTAAAACTATTACTGTAAAAAAAAAAATTGAAAAAAATAATTTTGCTTCGAAGCGTCACCGATTATTTTTAATTTTGATGGTGTTTAAGTGTAAACAAAATAGTTTCGTGCGATTGTCCTCCATAAGGTCGTTCACTTGCTTGTACGGAGAAAGATCAAATCAAAGCGGCAATTTTTATAACTATTTATTGTAAATGCGTATAAAAATTAAATAAATTCATGATTTCATCGATTTACAACTATTTTATTGATATTAAGAAATTTCCCTTTTTTCAATCACGAGGGAAAGCTGAAAAATATATTAAAATTTGTTTCAATAACACTCATCGGGGTGAATTCCGCCACCGCCATAGATCCTGATCTCATCTCACATTACTCATCATTTGCGTGCTCCTCATAGCGGCACATTCAATTTGTTTATATTTCGGAAATCTGCCGTAACCATATAACGTATATTATCCCTTCAAATGACTTGGGTTTTTAGAATAATTGTCTTCCATTTTGGCAGACTGTACATTACTATTTCAAAGTGTAACTTCGACCTGCCTTCAATATATAATACAAGTTAAATAAATTTAGCTTTTAACCTTAATATGGTAACTAATAGGGTGGTTTTTATTGTATTTTTAATAATTACTTGAATACTACTAATATTTATTTCCTCTAATGTCACTATAGTAATTATATAATATGCAATCTTCAATTTATTATTTAATTGAAACAGAGGCACTGGGCAGCGTAGGTAGCGCGGCAGCAAGCTCTTGGCCATCCTCCACACCGGAACCTTCACCTTCTCCAACCTCGACACCAACATCTGCTGACGCTGCTGATCCTGAAGCCGAAGGAGATCCACCCTTCACGCTCGGTGCAACTGAGCACACGCCCTACCAGTGTCAGTTCTGTGATAAGGCGTTTCCCAGGCTGTCCTACTTAAAGAAACATGAACAGGTTCGTACACTATTGCAAAATTTTGCTTTTGTAATATTAAGATAACATCTCTAAAAATACAGTCTAAGGTTAACTTGTAACACAACAAGCTTGACTACAATAGCTATAAAAATCCTCATATCTACGAATTCTCCGGTTCTATCATAGAAATTTCGAGCTTCATTAGCAAGTGTATGTCCAAAACGGCCCATTTGGAAAGCCAGTGCGTATAGATATGCATCGTAGTTGCGAGCCAGTCCACGGCCCTCAGAGGTTGACGTCTGGCCCATTACAGAGGCCGTATATCTCGGCTCCTTTGTGCAACGCCACTGTAACCGCACCACGATTATCCGACACACGCCGGGACAGATGTAGACTAGATAAGGCAAATAGAACCGTCACTTTGCATAATCCCTACTACAGTTCAACTAGATTTGCATCTAGCTGTGTCAAAAGTTCTGCAGATGTTTCGAGAAAGCATTCTTTTATATGGAAAAATCGTAAAAGGATTCTATTAGATAATCGGCATGCAATTGCAGTCACCTTTGCAGATATCAATCTCAAGGCGAGGTGTGTGCCGACAAATGTATCGGCAAGATCGCGTCTTAGCTTAGAGACAGGCTGTGACGGCCGGAAATAGGTTCGAGATAAATCCCTGACTACACTCAGCTATTTCTTTATCTGTTATCATATTTTAATCAGTGCTTTCGAAAAGTATTCCCTCAGGTAATCTACTTGTTAGGAACAAACTGAATAAAGCAAACCTATATAAAATAGCTATTTAATTGTCCGTAATACAGTTTATATTTTAATTTAAAATTACTTGTCCAAATTAAAGTTGGTATGTAGAATAATGAGGGACTGGGACTATTATTCGAGCCTGTACTGATGACCTCTGGGCAGCGGCTGTGTGAACCGGCGATGACATCGCATTACGGCACCTGGGAAAGTCTCGGTAGCCCGTCATTTCGGTGCTTTATTGGCTATCAAGCCGCTTAAACTAGTTTCGAATGTCTTTTGGTGCGCTTTACTCGGAAAACTTAACAACGTATGAACATTTATGTCTGACTCTCCCACGGCGTATGTTGTTATAAATTAAGTTGAATATTCGCGTGTAGTTCCGCTATAAAGTGTGTTACGGTATCTTATCGTACGCGCATCGGGGATTCTTGTGCAGTCAGCACCCAGGGGCCAGCTCCCGTCGAGTATTTGTAATTTAAATACTGCTTATTGATTCTTTGCACGAAGTCGTGAATAAAATAGTCACTAGTTGTGTTAATCAATTACCAAGTCGACGTCTGATTGATATAACCTACATAAATACATAGATATTTTAATGTAATTTTCGACATAGATATTTCATTTGTTAATACGAAACTTACGTGTTTATTCCAAATATGCATATTGTTCTGCTATAGGATGCTCCTATAAATGCAAACTACGCAACATTTATGCCCTAGAGCAAATACGTATGCATGTCAATCGCTGATAAAATCATAACAAGTGTTTCAATTAGAATTTACAACTTTGCTAACGATGCCTGTAATCTTGTAAGCTTTAAAAGTTTCTCTAAAGCTTTACTGCCAACTGTAAATAATTCTCATTGAGACGTTTGTAACGTTTTTTAATTAATTGTCTCTTTAGAAATACTTAACATAATTTTTTATGTTAAATATTCTACTCCACAGTTACTGACTGGGAATGGACTATGAAATAGTCGTTAATCCGTCGATGTATTAATATTGGCAAAATGAATAAAGCACAGGTATTAACGGTTTTAAACTAATTCAACGTTGACACTTGACGTTGTTAATTTATGTGCTCTGTGACATAAATGGCAGCTGACAATAATGCCATTGCTCCGACATATCCTATATATCCTTACAGGGTCTAGATAATAAAACTTGTGTATATAAACAATAAAATACTGCACAACGTTACCCTTATGCTTTCACACGTCAACAAAATTACAAGTCTTGGTAAGAGTAGTAATAAAAATGGCCAAGTAGCGTTAAAGTTTTTGCGTTTAAACAATGAATTCGTCTTAATTAAAATCTCAATATATTTCTATTAATAGTTATGTGATAGTCCAATACAAATTTAGCATAGAAATTAATGGCCCATATATTTGACTAATATTAGTCTATACAACCTCAACAAACCCAAAGATTGATTGGAGTGCTTTGCAATAGAGTGGCTTATATTTATACTAGCGGTTCTGCCAGACGAACAGCATTCTCGAATCTTCTTGAACACATACAAAAGAACATTAAAATCGGTACAGCCATTTAGGAGGAGTTTAAATAGAAACACACAAGATTTAAATATAAAGATAGTCTAAAATTTAATTTAAGCTTGGCCGTTGGAAGGCTTACCTTCTCTATAACGAAATTACCAATAAAACAGATCCAGATAAGTGTAGGTGTTCATCTCTCAGTGGTATTACGATAACTTACTTTAAAAAACATCGATAGAGTCTAAAAAACAGTATGTACAAGTTTTTTACTTCATGGATAAGCTAATCAATTGGGATAGTCGCTAATAGCTTCACCCATGCCGTGAAAATTAGGGGACCACGAGGCAAAAGATACTTGTTCAAACAATAATTTTTACTAATAAAATTGTGTATCGATTTTGTCAGTTATCTTAACTGGTTGCAGTCCATTGAAGTATCTAGTTTGAAAATAGGCCTAGTACAGAGATAAAAAAGGTAATTGAGTATCATTATTACTATATTGTTCAAACAGACATTTATAATTATAATCTATTACGATTGTTAGGTGAGTTTTGATTAATTAATTTTATCAAATTAAGTATATTGGAATAGGCAATCATAAGTACTATGAACCATTACTGTAACATTAATCGTATCGATTTTTTGGGCGAATGTTCAGCACTACAGTTTTCACTATTGTAATTTTCATAGATGGTGAATAATTACGGCATTCATGTTAAGTTGTTGATATGCATCTGAAAAAAATCAGTTAAACCTGTATTTTTGCAAGGCTTGTCCCGGTGTAAGCGTGGCATATCAGTTTAGTAGTAAAAAATTAAGCAGGCGAACATATCGACAGACAATAATTATTTTTTATATAAATGTTACAGTGATTTTTTTATTGAATTACTACTTAAAAGAATATTAATGATACATAAATATGGTAATTGATAAAAAATCTCAAAATTTCGAATTTGAAATATTCCATAATACTCTTTGAAATATTTATTTTCTATTGGATAAGTAGGATTAGAAAAAAGTAAATATTATAACATTTATGTACAGTAAGTACTTATCATTAAAAAAATAACGCCAAACCAAAAATTAAGAGGTTGATCTATCGAACAGGTATGCCGGAATAAACAAAAACAAGCTTCCTAACAATTATACTAGAAAAAAACACCAGTAATAAAAATATATTTATCAAATTTTTTTCATGCAGAAACTATTTGGCCATCGTTTGTGCCCATTATTGGCCAAGTGGTTTCAACGTACGACTCTCATCCCTGGGGTCATAGGTTCGATCCCCGGCTGTGCACCAATGGACTTTCTATGTGCGCATTTAACACTCGCTCGTACGGTGAAGTAAAACATCGTGAGGAAACCCGTATGCCTTAGGCTCAAAAAGTCGACCATGTGTTTCAGGTACAGAAGGTTGATCACCAACTTGCCAATTAGAAATAATCACGGAACTGATAAAGAAATCTGAGGCCCAGACTTAAAAAGTTTGTAGCACCATTATGTAAACATTGTAAATATCTATCTCCATTTCGATTGATGTACTTACTATCAGTAGTAGATCTACTAGTAGTAGTAAGATTTAATAGTAGTTTTTGATACACATTCTACAATACAATACGGGGCCGAAAAAACCGAGACAATTGTATGAGTAATGTCGATCATTCAAATGTTAAGATTTAACGTCTAAACGATAATCGCTAAAGCAATTTAGTAAAAGCGTGAAACGTTGTCAGTTTTGGACAGAACCTTAAGTCAGGTTCAGTGGTGTGAAGGCCAACGCTATTCTTCATCTTCCAACGACTGTACACCCATTTCCATAATTAGCTTATGAATAATCCATTGTTTATCTGTAGACATTTTTACAAATACAGACGTATTTTAACTAATTCAATGGTAATTTAAAATACAGAAATGTCATGTAAACTAAAAAGATACTTGTAGGACATACTTTCCTATAGTCAGGTTTTGTTTTATTCGTTTGTTTTTTTTATTAATCGTAAAGTCGTGGTCGCTACTTAAATTTAAGATAGAATGGTGTCAATCATTTCGATTTTTTCGATTCTTTATTGATACAGCTCCCGGCTCGGAATTTAATCATATAATCTATTCGCCGTATTGCTGCTAACAATAATGTAGTAATGGTAAACCGATATTTTATCCAGTCAAATAGATCTTTGTAAAGCACCGTTTAGAAGTAGATTTCGTATTTTCCTACATAGTGAAGTTTCGCCCTCAAAGCAAAATCTTACTAATGAACCACCGAGGCCTATACGTTATGTATTAATGGCAGCATGCAGAAAGGTAGTTTGAAGTTGGCCAAATACCTTTCGGATTCACAGTTACGTTTAACGAAAATATTTTAAACTAAAACTTGGAACTTCCCGGGTATTATCGGCCGGCCTAGAAAAAAACATGATAAATGTTGTGAAAATATGTGTTCAGATTTTATTTGAACATTGACCAACTGCTGACATGGCTGACGTGGTTGCTCCAAATTTTAACAGCTGAAGGTGCACGATACACCAACAGCTCACGAGAGTAATTTTATAAACGTGTGAATAGGTGTAAGTAGTATTTAAAATTTTGTTTTAGAACAATAATTCACATTTGAATATTCCTCTGTCTTATTTAATTCTCGCTTTCTCTCAAAGAGGCGAAGCCTCCTTCAAGCCCTTAATTATCGTGGTGAGCCTGCCCGATGGTTTTGAGAAAATCCCATTACCAACATCAACATATGAACATCTAATAATGCTCGTAGGACTTCGTGTGATACCTAAGGCCTCATGGTGCAGACACCCCGTAATTATTTATATATTCAATATTTATGTGTTAGGGTACATCTATAAAGACCCTTGTATTGTTAGATTCTTAGGTCTTACCCTCTCATATATTTAGTTATCTAGGGCAGCTTGCTAATAAATATACGACGTATACTATATAGATACTCCTGACATTTATTAAATATAAATTTGAATACTCATTTCACTATCCACTGGCTGGCAAGCTGAACCATATGGTATTATTATCCCAATACGAAGACATCTATTTAAAAAAGTAATATTATCGTTTAGGTACTTATATTTATGTTATACTAATTCTTAGTTTGAACCTATATATATTTGTGTCTACATTTTGCAGACTCATTCGGATCAGATGCCGTTTCGTTGCGAATTCTGCGCCAGATTATTCAAGCACAAGAGGTCCCGGGATCGCCACGTCAAGTTGCACACTGGTGACAGAAAGTATCGCTGCGCACATTGCGAATCTGCATTCTCGCGAAGGTAAACTATCGATATTTTTACAAAATGTAATATAATATACTAATCTTAGCTGGTTTAATTAGTTACGAATGTTGATACTCTATATATATTGTAACTAACATTTGAGTTTGAGCCATTATGATTTTGGCATTAAAAACCATATTATCATTATATTGTATTTAATATATATAAATATACAGTATTATTATACACATTGTATATGTAATAATACTAAAAAGAAGATCACTCAATGAGACGAATTTTTAGTATACCTACGTATTTCAAGATAACATATAATATCTCAAAGACTATATCGTTTATATTTTTTATAGACACAATACAAAATTTCTAATCTAAATTAATAGCAGGTGTTCAAATCCATTTTCTTAAATCTAAATATAAGCGCAAACGAAACGAAAAAAGAGCTTTTTTACAATGACATTCCATATGAGTTAAATACTCAAACGTTTAAGAATTAAATATAAATGAAGATGCTTGCATAACAATGACCGCGGAGTAAGAT